CAGCCCTTCCCCTGGGAACCTCCTGCCCCTCAGTGCCTGGGGGCCAAGGGGTGAGTTGGCCATGGAGACTCAATTCCCCTTTTGTCCCCCAGCTGGTCTCCCCAGGCCAGAGCTGCAGACTGTTCATGGGACCTTTGAGGGGACGTTGCAGGGCCAAGGGCTGCGCTGCCCCTGCTCTGGGGCTGGGAGAACTGGAGGATTCGAACTCCAGGCCCAGCAGAGCAGCGACTCACTGGCCAGAGCTGGGGAACTGAGTCACTCGGTGCAGTGTCCCCATGTGACGTTGTCTCTCCCCAGGTGTGAGACGGGGCCGTTCCAGCCGCCAGAGGAGATTTCCCCTAAACTGGGTGAGTGAGTCAGGGGCTTTCTCCTGGCAAACGACTGCGCTGTCGGAGACTTTGAAGGAGTTCACAGGTACCGAGAAGGGAAAAGTAACAGTTTGGATTTTGGGTGTTGTCTTTTAGGCCACAGGGCTTGGTTCTCAGAGGGTCTTGGCACCCTGCCTCGGTCTGTTTATAAACAAACCATCTGCCCCAAAGGTGAAGCTGGATGTAGCTCAAACTCTGTTACAGTTCTGAGCTGCCTCTGCAGGTTGTGTTTTAAGCAGTCCTTAAGCATGAAATCAGGTGCTCCTGAATCCCTTGAATGACAAGATGTCAGTTGAAGGCCATTTCTTTGAACTGCACCCATCACAGAGCTCTTCTGAAACAGTAAGAGCTAGGGCCACCAAATACAGCACACAGTTTCCTCTTGTCCTGGCACAACCAGATCCTGACCTTGCTTTAAGTTATGACAATAGGATATGCCCAGGATGGAATTGCTTCTTGTAACACCAGAAAACAGACTGAATCATCCGGCAAGTAAAGGGGGCTGGCTAAGGGCATGGCCCCCGCTCCAGGACTATTCAAAACATGAGAGTCCTACCACCCAGGTGCTGTTTAGGGAGAACTGGGAGCAGGGAGGGAGAATCTTCCTCCCCCGCCATTCATATGGGAACATTGCTGGCAATTCCCCCTCATCAGGAAGCGAGGGGAAAGTGCCCAGTTTGCTGCATTCCTCACTCTGTCTGGGGAGTGCAGGGGTCAGACAAACCTGGACCTGCCCCAGCCAGGGGACACATACCCCTCCCCTGGCTGTGCCTGCTGGAGCTTCAGCGGCCATGAAAAAGGGCTTCTTACTTGGCCCCAAGTTGCTGCAGTAAGAGGGGGCTGGGGTAGTCTTCTCTCCCTGGGGTAACCTGCAAATGGCACCCCTTATCCTCAGCACCGTACAGAGCAATGATTCAAATGAACCATGTACGCTTTTTTGTATTTACATAAACCCACAAAATGAATTCAGTTAAGGAGTCGAGAAACACCATGTAAATCTTCTAGTATAGAATATTGCACAAAAGACCCAGAAATCTTCAGTTATGAAATGCCTGTGTGCGTGTCAGTGTGTTTCTCTGTCAAATAAAAATGCAGTTCTAGAATTTTGGAGTGGGGACACCATTATAAATAGAAGAGCCTGGAATCTCACCTCTCTTATCCCTTCCCCCACCAGACACTCTGCCCTCTGCACTGGAGAGAGCAAGAGGAAAATCCCTGGGAGCTTTCAGACAAGGTGAGTTTGCAGGTGGAGAGTCTTTAAATGATGAGAAAAATCCCTTGAAAACATCTTCATGGGATTGGTAACTAATGACAACCAAACCCAGTGACCACAGTGCTCACAGCCCTAAATCTAACCCATTGATCATTAAGGAGACCTAGGAGCACTGGATTAGATGGGACCAGGGCAGCTGTGGCCTGGCCACTTTAAGAAGGTCCCCCACCTACATCTTAACATGGGGATAGTTTGGGGGCAGGGGGCCACGTTAACCCTACAAATTGAGCCCTGAACAGGCCCGGAGCTTTGGAGCCAGTGGCTGCACTTCGTGGTGTGGCAGCTGATCAGCTCCTTGCCATGAAATACAGGTCCTGGGGCAGCAGCCTCTTCCCTGTGCTGGCCCCTTCCATCTCTCCCCAAAGCCTTGCCCCCTGACCAGGAGTCCTGGACCCTCCATCTACCCTTGGTGATGCACTCCAAGGAGTGGAGTCATGGGCTGAGGGCTGCTGTCAGACCAAATAGACCGTGACCCAGGCCAGATGGAGGGTCAGGAGGCCTCCACAGCAGCCAAGGCTCCCAGCGTGGTCAGGAGGTAGAACCTCACTCACAAGAGGAAGAGGGGCCGGGGCCATGGAGGTGGTGACATCACAGAATGTGGGATCATGTGCCCTGCCCCCTTGGCCACGTTCTGCCACAATTCCAGAACTCGGCGGGCGGGTGGAGGGAGGAGATCCCCAGCTGACGTCACATAAACATGTCTGACACCAGCCGTGGGGCTGAGTTCCTGCCCAGGCTGCTGCACAGAAACCCTCCCTGAGCAGTGCCCGCATGCTATCATGTTTGAAAAATCGTTGGAGTCGGGAGAGATGCCAGAAGACTGAAAGGGCAAATCTAGTGCCCATCTATAAAAAGGGTAATAAGAATAACCCAGGAAACTACAGGCCAGTCAGTTTAACTTCTGTGCCAGGAAAGATAATGGAGCAAGTCACTAAGGAATTCATTGGCAAACATCTGGAAGATAAGGTGATAGGGAACAGCCAGCATGGATTTGTAAAGAACAAATCATGTCAAACCAATCTGATAGCTTTCTTTGATAGGGTAACAAGCCTTGTGAATAAGGGAAAAGTGGTGGACATGGTATACGTAGACTTTAGTAAGGCATTTGATATGGTCCCACATGACCTTCTTATCAATAAACTAGGCAAATATAACTTAGATGGGGCTACTATAAGGTGGGTGCATAACTGGCTGAACAGACTTTCTCCGAGAGTAGTTATTAATGGTTCACAGTGATGCTGGAAGGGCATAACAAGTGGGTTTCTGCAGGGGTCTGTTTTGGGACCAGTTCTGTTCAATATCTTCATCAATGATTTGGATGATGGCATAGAGCAGTGATTCTCAAAGTCTGGTTCATGCAGCAGGAACCCCCCATCTCCCCGAAAACCCTCAGCCACTCTGCTCCACAGCTTTATTCCCAAGCACTCTCTGCCCCAGTCCAGACACACTACCCCAAGCACCCTCCACACACTCTCTCCAAGGCAGGCACCCTCCCTCCTGGCCCTACACCCTACCCCCCGTCGGCTCTTGCACCCTCTCTCCTGGCCAAACTCTGAATCCTCTTTTCCTACCCTCATCCTGGTTAGACACCCTCCATCATGGCCAGAAACCCTGCCCCCAGCCTGCTCTTTGCACCCTTCCTCCTGGCCAGGCACTACACCCTGCCCTCCTCCTGCTTCTTCCCTCTGGCCAGACACACTCTACTCCCAGCCTGCTTCTGCACCCTACCTCCCACCCAGAGCTCGCAACCTCTTCCTCTTCTGCACCCCACCTCTCTCCCAGATCCTGCACCCCCATCCCTATCCCAGTCATTGGCAGCCCTGTTCCATGCACTGAACCCTTCATTTTTGTTCCCACCCCAGAGCCTAAGGGGGGGGTCCATAAAAGTCTACTAACTCTGGAACCCCAGAAAAATAAATCTGGCCTGTGGGAAGTCCTGAACCCCAGTTCTCCCTGTCTCTTGCCCTCGCCACCCTAGGACTGGACCACCAGAGGAGTGAAATGTTTCAGTTGGGGGCCACATCAGGGAGTGTTGGGGGGGGGGTTGGAGGAAATTTTTATTTTTTTGCTTCTCGCTTATGTGGTCCCCGATTGCTTTTTCTGTAGGTCAGTAGCCCTCAACACAAAAAAGATTCCTCAGACCTGCCATAAATAAAACATTGAAACCTTTTGTGTTAGGCATAAATTAATATTTTACTTTATTTAAAATGAAGTTTGATAAACTAACATGAGGAAGTTAAAATGCTTAATCTTTTAATAATTTAAACTTAACAATTCTCTCTAACTGCAGCACTGGCAAAACGGCTCAGGCTTAATTATGTAATTAACAATGAATTTCTATTAGCAACTGGTGGTCCACAGAAAGGTTTACATTGAGCTAGGTTTTCCATGGGCCAAAAGTTTGAGAACCACTGGCATACAGAGTACGTTTATTAAATTTGCTGTTGATACCAAGCTGGGAAGAGTTGCAAGTACTCTGAAGTTTAGGGTTATAATTTAAAATGATGTGGACAAACTGGAGAAATGGTCTGAAGTATATAGGATTAAGTTTAATAAGAACAAATGCAACGTACTCCATTTAGGAAGAAACAATCAGTTTAACACATGCAGAATGGAAAATAATTGTCTAGGACGTTTCCTGCAGAAAGGGATCTAGGGGTTATAGTGGACCACAAGTAAATATGACTCAACAGTATGACACTGTTGCAAAAAACGCAAACATGATTCTGGGATGCATTAACAGGTGTGTTGTGAGCAAGACATGCGAAGTCCTTCTTCCGCTCTACTCTCCGCTGGTTAGGCCTCAGTAGGAGTATTGTGTCCAGTTCTTGGCACATTTCAGTAAAAATGTGAAAAATTAGAGAAGGTCCAGAGAAGAGCCACAAAAAGGATTAAAGGTCTAGAGAACATGAGCTATGAGGGAAGACTGAAGGAATTGGGTTGGTTTAGTTTGGAAAGAAGTCTGAGAAGGGACATGAGAGTGATTTTCAAGTATCTAAAAGGGTGTTACAAGGAAGAGGAAGAAAAATTGGTCTCTTTGACCTCTGAGGACAGGACAAGAAGTAATGGGGCTTAAACTGCAGCAAGGGAGATTTAGGTTGGACATTAAGAAAAACTTCCTGCCTGTCAGGGTGGTTAAATGCAGAAATAAATTGCCTAGAGAGGTTGTGGAATCTCCATCACTGAAGATATTTAAGAGCAGGTTAGACATCTATCAGGGATGGTCTAGATGGGGCTGGGTCCTGGGGACTGGACTTAGTGACCTTTCGAGGTCCCTTCCCGTCCTAGCATTCTCTGAGTCTACGATTGTGTAGGAAGGCTGAGGCAGCCTCCCTCAACGAGAGTCACGGCTGAACGTCCCTCCCCATCTAGGCACTGGCACAATACCCTGGCGGGGTGGGCTCCTGAATTGCCTC